CGGCAGATGGGGGAGAAAAAGGGTCAGGCAGAATACTTACCTACATTATTGGCTTGCTTTATTTTCTACCCCACACCACCACCCTCACTCCACAGAGCAAAGAGATTAGAAAAAAGGAGATTTCAAGAGAGTAATCTGTTTGCTCTTAAATTGAGAATTATGAGATCACATTGATAGCAACAAAGGGTGAGGTAAAGGAAAGATTTCCTACAGAAAATGCTTGCTTTGTTTTTTCCCACTTCCCTTGCACAGTGCTAAGATTGGAGAGAAAGAAATTTCAAGAGACTATTGTTATCTATTTGCCTAGCATGTCTACATTCTCGGCTCTGGGCTGACAGCACAAGTAGGTATCAATTCAAAGAGATTGTTTTTTTCTGTTTTTTTCTGCTTCTTCTTTCTTATCCAAATGCTCTTCAAAGAATGATAACACATTCCTTTTATAAGGCACTTTATATAGTAGATAAAAGTAAAATAAGATGTTAACTAAGGAAAGTTATTACTAGAATCCACAGAAAGTATAGGTATAACAGCCATAAAAACAATAGATTACACAACCCCACCAATTTAAAGAGAATTATATTTTTTCCATCAGAAATAATAAATCCTATTATTTGTTTCATTGGTAGGCAAGAGAATGACATACAACTTCCCATTTATCTATACCGGATATTATTCTATATCCATAACATAGACTTGTATTTTTACACTAATTTATTTTCTATGGGGCTACAATTTTGTCTTGGGGCTACTAGCCTAAAGAGTGACCTTCATATGTTTACAGGTAGTCCTCGAGTTACGAATGTAATAGAGCCTGCCCACTCTATTCGTAACTCAAGAATTTATGGGATTGAATCTCGTACTTCAAATGAGATCACTCCCTGCTTTTGCCCAAGCATTCTCTAATTTAATATTTTTGTTTACAATCCCACTGAAGAGATGTCTTGCCTACTCGTAACACCTTTCCAGAAATATGGATATTTGAGAATGTATTGAAATACTAAAAGTTCCCTGTATTTTAAAAAGCTACTTATTTTCTGGGCAGATGCTATTTTGAAAATAATTATCTGCACTCTAAGACAGAAAGGATGTGTTTTTCATTGGACAGAAAAATTTGAAAAATTTGAACTTTACTTATATAAACATGGTCTCTTAAACCATGTTTATGTATACTACAAAATTCTATAGCCTTTTCAATCTAATGTAGTGTCTAGAGATCTTATATGTAGCAGTTCCATTTTTCTTTGCATTTCTCAATTAGAAATGTACACCTTTAAAACTGAAACAGTCTGTCTTGCCTCTTATAATAAGATACTGACAATGAGATGAAAAATGTCTCTTAGCACATTGCAGGTTATCAGTTATTAGAAACAAACCCCTTAATTATTATTGGAAGATATATTTCGCCTGTCCTGAACTTATTTATCAAATCAATTTTCAGTAGAGAACTCAATATGTTTCAATAGTATTCAATTCAATTTCTCCATATATCATCTACTTTTCTAATGTGACAGTTTATTTCTTCCCTGATGAAAATTTTTTTATATAAATATTTTATTAATTTTCTAGTTTTACAATCATAAGTACTTAATAAACAACGTGTTGTCCTGGTTCCATTAGTTATTCAATGGTATTATTAACTTCTTCAATCTAGGCCCAATATTACACCATCCAATGCTTCCTTTCTTCTTCACATAGTATACATTATCCCACATTAGGCAAATACAATTCTTATTGTTGTTAATACATATACAATTGAATATCAACATCTTTGTTACATTTTCTTAATAATATCAATAATGCCGGTTTAAAATATCTTTTCTAACCAAAATATATATTAATTGCATTTGCACTTAATATCCATTTGTTCAATTAATATCCTGTTTTTCCCATTTTTTTTAATTTTAATTTCCCATCAGTGTTCAAAATGTCTCTATCGCTTATAATTTCTCATGGTAAGTTATATTTGGGTAATCAAAAACTTCCCTTATTCAAACCCTCTTAGTATTTTTATATTTCCCTTCTCATACCAAAATATAATATTCTAGTTATAAATCCTATCTTTCTAGTTATAATAATATTTCTATTTCTAACAATTATCTATTCTTAGCCATGTTCAAATATCTGATTAATAGTATAACATCCCATCTAATGGGTCAAAAACTCTATTTTATTCAGTCTTACTCTAGCTTTCTTCCTTTGCCAACTAACATCAATGCATTTGAATCATCAAATAATTCTTCCTCTATTTCTGTATATATTATTTGGAATAAGAAAGACAATTTGATTAAAGTATTTTTGGAAGGACACTCAGTCCATTGATATTCATTAAAAGCCTTCTCCTTCTCCAATTTCCCACAATTCTCCTAAAAGCTCTATCTTCCAATCAATCAGCTCTTCTTTCTTATCCTCAAGTGGGCTCTGAGATCTTGACAGATATCTTTTCCTTTCCCAATATTACTGCTACGTCTTCTAATTCTTCGTTTGTCTAAGTCTGTCTGTTAGTTCCTTTCTTTAGGTCCTCCATCTTTGGATCTGCTTCCTCTGATTGTCCTTCTATTTTCTGGATTGCTAGTTCCTTCTTTGTAGTCATTTTCTGAGTTTGTAGATTTAGATTAAAGAATTGTTCTTTTATCTCGTTTGTATTATTTTTAGTCTCATCCTGAGCTAAGGCAATTGTCTCTTGTATTGATTTTAACATAGAATTTCTTTCTGAAATTCATCAACATTTTCTTGTTGGATGTCAAGCTGGGGGCTTTGGGGTCAGGTGTTAGGGATGGTTTTTTACCATTTGAAGCTAAGTTTTTGTATGTAGTCCAATCTATTTAGGGATTTAAAAAGTTTCAGTCAATTGTCATTTGAACTCCTAATTATCCAGCCAGTCTATCAGTCCGTCCTTAAGACTCCCCTCAGCATATATAAGTAAAGTTCAAATTTTTCTGTCCAATGAAAAACACATCCTTTCTGTCCAGACAGAGAAGAGCAATTAAAAATTGTTCATCAATCAAAGGTTTATAGTCCAAATTATTCCATCATCTCCATCAATAATGCATGTTTCTTCCATAGGGAAATAGCTCCATGATGCAGCTCTAAAAGTCAGTTAGTATTTATATTCATAGTCCAGGGAGTCCAGTTTCAAAATAGTTTATTGTCTCTGCCACACAGATAAGCAGCCCAAGAGGTCCCCCCCTTTTCCCAGCTGCAGTCTTCAAAAGTGAAAGTTTCTGAAAACAACAAGAGTCTTATCTGAATCTGGGCTTCCAGCCAAGTTTTCTTTAGGCATAATAAATTGTAGTGCTGTAGTTCGCCACTAGATGTCATTGATGCCACCTTCCAGCTTTTTACATCCAAACTTATATTACAAGCTTTTGAAGTCTCTTTTTTTTAAGTCCCCAAATTTCAAAGTTATTGCTTCTAAATTAATCTTGTAATTTTTTGCTTCTAAATTAATCTTGTAATTTTCTTTATTTTCCCCCAAGCAATTAATTCGCCGCTTTTCTTTTCCTGAGGGATTGGGGCGGAAACTCCCCTTCCCTCTCTGATTGGGGAGGATTCTTTGCTTTGGGCGTTTTTTTCCCAGGAAAAAGTCTTAAAGTCATAAAGAGAGGATATGGTCTCACCCAATTCCATCCACATTGCTTGAAAATTGCTAGTTAATGCTTATTTTCTTCAGCTGTCAGCAGCTTCTGACTGGCCACACAAATGTAGCCAGTCTTTTCCCTGCCGGTTTGGAGGGCTTCCTCGGATCAAACGATCAACAAGGGTCCCTTCCTTCTGTATCGCCTCTTCGGAGTTACTTTCGACCCTTTTTAGGGACCCCAGCAGGGCAAAATCAGAAGCCGGAGCCCTGTCTTCCTGCACCCAGTCACACTGCGACGTCAAACAAGAAGTTTCCTGATGAAAGCTTTATATTGTTACATAGAGTTGATAAAGAAACTTCTCAATTCCCATTCCAACCTAATATTTTTCAAATTTAAATATCCTCTTTTACATGTAATCACTGCTAAAGTGTTAGTTCCCTTACGAATACCTGCAGCTGTGTCAAACTGGTCAGTCTAATTATTGTATTGTGAACTGTTGCAGTGTAAGCATTGTTCCTTTTGTACATGCATTATGACATCACACTCACATCTGAAAGAGGTAAAGCTTTCAGCATTATGGTGCAATGATCCTTTTGTTATTTTCATACAAGAAGCAAGAATCTGCAGATACCCATTAATATTGTTAACATGTGCCAGCTAGATCCCATCCCCATAACATGCAGTACAATGTACTAAATTTTGTGTTTTGTCACCTGGCAAGAAAGAATAACTACAAAATCCTAATATACATCCAAACAAGATAGCAGAATCATTGGGAAAATGGAGAAAAGTACATTTCTTTATGCCACTTCTACTATTTACTTCTTAGAAGACCAAACAACCAACAGAGTCAGTTAAAAATCCTACTTACACTATGAATAATTCTGAAGTGGATGAGATGTTAGTCCTACCATTCTTGATGTAAAATATATAAAACTTAGTGAATATTAACTAACACTTTTATTTTTAACTATGTATTTTTTTGTCATTAGCAAATAGTCCAGCCTTGACCTCATTCTTTGAAAGACCAATATACAACATGCCAGACCTTCCAACTGAGAAAATATTAAATATTTCAAATCAACATTTAAAAATGACCATATTAGGAACTATAACTATATTTATAAATAGCCAACATAAAAAGTAGGAATCATTAGAAAACTATTGCAATTTTCTTGTAACTCATAGTTTCCAATACTTCTATATTTTATTATCTCTGGACATTAGCAGCAGCCTTTCCCAACATGCTTTCCACAGAAGGCTAAGGAGAGAAGCAGGTTAGAAGCAATGTTTGGCTAAGGTAGCTGGAGATAATGGCTGTAACATTCACAAGAAACAGATTGAGAAGAGTTGATATACAGGTTAGAAGACTCAAGCATTCTTGGCAAAAATAGGCAAAGTCTATTGAATTCTTGAACTTACTTCTTTCATCCATAGCAATTTAGGTGGCTGCATTTCAACCGACATCACACCACCAACAAAAGACAGCACATTATGCTGTGTCTCATTGATGCGTGCTGCTTGATTAACTGCACGATGGTCCATCCACATGATGATGTTTCTTTTGTGTTCTCCTTATAAAACAAAACCAAAGCCGTCAGTTTCCACTAAAATATTTAGTACACATATTCCTCTATCCAGATACTTTCCATTACAAAGATATGCTTTTTTCATTAAAAACATGCACTGTACCTATAATTACAACATTTTTAATAGATCACAAAAATAGTCACATGTGACTGCTGTAGGGCATTAACTACAATTAAGAAAATTCAATATTGACAGGTGATCCACCCCTTTTTCTGATTATACAAAAGATTTGCACAGATTCTGCCTTCCTTCGGACTACATTAGCAATAAAAAAGCTACAGTTAAACAGAAAATAAATGTATAAAAGCACCTGGACCAACATAGCATGTCCCAGAATTTCCTGTCATTAATTACTATTGTCTACTGACAGCCTTTAGCATATCACTTCTAAGTTGTAACCTCCATCTGAGTTCAAAAATCTTTTGGAAGACATTTCTTGGTTTGATTTTTGGTTTGTTTATTTGTTTGTTTGAGGTTTTGTGTGTGTGTGTGTGGCTTTCTCCATCTTGATGTCTTTACAGATGTCATTGTTCTACTAACATCTTTCTAAAATTCTTTGTTAATATCTTTCCTGAGCTTTTTGTATTTCTTGGCTTCAGGTTCTTTATTCTTCCTGATAATTTTCATGGTTTTTTTCTAACATCCAGTTTGATTTCTTTTGGGGTTTTTTTAATCTGGCATTTTTTTCCCCCACTTTCCTCCTTAACAATTTCTTTAAGTTCATTTCACTGTTCCTCTGCCTAGGTAGAAATTGAGGGCTTCAAAGTGATCTTTTTGTTTTCCTTAAAAATTGTTCTGTTTCAAGGCTGCTGATATGCACAAACACAGTATTCGAAGCTTTCAAGTCAGAATCAGACTCTGAATCATGGCTTATAACAAAAATGGTAGGAATATGATCAATATCATTTTGTAGAAACTGTCTTATTCTTCCTTAACTTGGCTTCACATTTTCACATGAGCAATTCATATTTTTTTCACAGCCAGCCTCTGGCCACACTTTTGCTATTATAAGTGAGCTTTTCCATCTTCTTATACCAATAATATAACCAATTCCATTTCTGTATAAGGCATCTGGCGATATTCACATATATAGTCATTGGAAGCCTGTGCTAACAAGAAGACATTTGATATAATTGTTAAAAATATTTTGATTTCCTAGGTAGTACAGACCAACTATGTTTTCCTTCTTAATGCTTTTGACATTCTAGTCCACAGGTCGGCAACCTGCGGCTCCGGAGCCACATGCGGCTCTTTGAGCCTTCCCCTGTGGCTCCCAGCCTCCTCTGCCTTTGCAGAGAGAGACAGAGACAGAGAGAGGCAATTGCGCCTCCCTGCTTCTCTCTGTGTGTGTGTTTTGTGTGTGTGTGTTTTGTGTGTTTTGTGTGTGTGTGTGTGTGTGTGTGTAAAAGAGAGTGCACTCACAGAAGTTCTCGGAGGAGCTGAAAAGCTTACTGGGCGGAGCTCCTCCCTTTGCTGCGTCTCTGCAGGAAGCAGGAAGCAGGAAGGGCAGGAGAGAGCTAGCTAGCCCAGCTAGGCTGACTCAGGAATTCTGGGAGTTGAAGTCCATGAGTCATAAAAGAGACGAGGTTGCCTACCCTTGAGATTGTTGAAGAACAACTTGAAGCTTGCCAGGTGAGCAGCAGATGGGGGGGGGAGAAAGAGAGAGAGAGAAAGAGAGAGAGAGAGGGAGGGGGAGAGAGAGAGGAAAGAGAGAGAAAGAAAGAGAGTGGGGGAAGAGGAGTGGCAGACCAAGGGCAGAGAGGGAGGGAGGGAGAGAGACAGAGAGAAAGAGACCCTTTTGACATCTAAAATGAATATAACACTGCATATATCCTTTTTTTACCTGTGTGTGTATGTAATTTTATTCTCTTAAAGCATTCTCTCGGTGATCATTGTTTTAATAGTATGGATATTCCCAAGAGTCATATTTTTACTTTTATTTTTAATGTGTGTGTGTGTGTGTATATACACACACACACACATACACAATCTCTCTCTCTCTCTCTCTCTCTCTCTCTCTCTCTCTCACACACACACACACACACACACACACACACACACACACACCCCTATAATAAAGGTAAAAAAGGATATATGCAATGTTATCTTCATTTTAGATATCAAAAGGGTTTTGCGGCTCCCGGTGTTTTGTTTTTGGTGGGAAACGGGTTCAAGTGGCTCTTTGAGTGTTTTGGGTTGCCTACCCCTGTTCTAGTCTCAAGTGACAATCTGGATATCTTGGTTGCGTGTTTTACCAATTCCAGACAGGTGGTGATCATAAAATTCATCAGCTTCCTCTTCTTCTGCATCAATGGTTGAAGCATAATTTTGGATAATTGTTAGGGTAATCTATAAAGTTTAATTGGTTTTATTCAATTACTGATTGCATTATAACCAGGTACTGTCCTTGCTATATCCTCCCTTGTTATGAAAGCAACATTTTTTCTTCTTAGTTAATTTAGTTTACTGAATAGTAACATTCCAGTCCACTCCAACTCAGTGGCTCCCTAAGATGCCAATGTATGGATGATTCATTTCATCTTTATGTTTCTTTAAATTTTACAATGGAATACAAAAAGTAAATGATGGATGTTGCTGTATTTGTTATATTATATTCCCTTTATCTAACAATAATGTTAAAATAAAGCTAAAATATTTTTATGTTGAAATATAATGAAAAAGTAAAAACAAATATCAATGGGTTGTATTTACCTTTTCACATGACTGTAGTTGGGAAGGCAGGATTCGTACATCTTTTTTTTTTTAGGAGATAAGAATGAAGGTACTCATAGTCAAAAAATGTCTCAGATTCCATATAGTAATGCATGAGATCAAAAAGAAGACTATTTCCTTTTCCTTCTGACTGCAGCCCTGTGACTTAGCCCTCACTCTATAAAGAAATCTTTACCTCTTTCTGACTCAGCCAAATTTCCTCTTTTGTGTTCACTTTCTCCTTCTAGTTCACTTATCTTTTTACTTTAGATAAAACTTGATAGCAAATCTCCTTTCATAAAAATATATGAAAATCCTATACACTTAAATACAAACATTTTAATCAAATCTATCTGAAAAGTGGGTAATTCGGTATCAGCACAATTTGTAATTGAATTTATACTGGCTAAAATATCATTGCCCAGATTTTATTTTTAAATTATCATCTTACTATTGCAAATCTTAGTTATTATTTGAAGGCTTTACCTTCAGAGTTGACTGCTAAAGGATTAAAATGACTATCCAAAACAACAAGGGAGCAGGTAGCATCAAAGCCAAGCCCTCGAATCTGGGAAATATTTATTCCTTGGGTAATTTTCTGTGAAAGAAAAAAAAATTAAAAAATTAAAAAATTAAATTTTCTATTCATTGAGGCACACAAAACAGTTAATACAGTGGTGTATAAAGCTGAAGTTCAAATTAAACTTTAAATCCACAGCACTGCATATAGAGCAGTGGTTCTCAATCTTTTTAATGCCGCGACCCCCAACCGGTCGTAAGTTGAGGACTACTCAACCGGTCGTAAGTTAAGGACTACTCAACTGGTGCAGCACCGTTTGCAGAATGGGACTTTTGGCGGGCTCAGCAGGGCAGAGACAACCTGGACAATTCCTATTGGCTTTTGAAAGCCAATAGAATTAGACTCTATTCAAAAGAGTCTATTCTATTGGCTTTCAAAAGCCAATAGAATAAAAGGGAGTAGCACAGCTAAGGAAAAGGGGGGAAAAAATGGCGGACTGCATTGTTTGGCGACCCCCGTGTAATGGTCATTCGACCCCAAATGGGGTCCCGACCCACAGGTTGAGAACCGCTGATATAGAGAGTATAAACGCCAACACTATATGATTATCTAAATTACTAATAAGGATAACTATATAACTGTTTGGACTATTGATTACTTTATCCATTGTTGATTAATTTGTTCTTCTTAAAAACCAATAATTATATTTTCCTTTACATTTAACTGATTGATTATATATTATAATGGATGCATGATGCATGATGCATATATGTTGGTATATTGGTCAATAATGAGAATGAAACTATTAAACAAATGGTATCTGTAACTTCCAGCGTAACAGGTTATTACTGTGGTTGTCAAAAATCCACTTCCAGAAAAAATAATTTGAAGAAAAAACTTCAACAATGTTTTCTTACTAAAAAGCTCATTGTGTTGATGAGCTCTCATCCAAAAGTGTTCTCATGATGTTTTTGCCAACTCTTTCACTGTGAGATCTGAGGAGAGATCTGCTAGTATAAATTCTTTCATGGATATAGTACTTGTTTACCTGGTAGAAATGAACTGATCTGAAAACAACAACAATAACAACAAGAAATTGTACATCTTAGAACCCAATTTAAGAAACATTTATCTAATTTGAGTGACAATGGGTGTTCAAAGTCTCAGACATTTTTCTGATGTAGAGAGCCCCAGAGTTGGCCTTGAGGGAAATATTCAGAAGCCCTTACAGAAACAAAATTGACAAACCTATTTTTTAAGGTTTGGGTAATATCAAAAGAGACTCAGAATGGCTTTTCCCTGAATCATTAGTGATGGCAAGCCTCTTAGAGACTGAGTGCCCAAACTGCAACCCAAACCCCACTTATGCATTGTCGAGTGCCGAGTGGGTGTGGCCCATTGGGTGGGTGTGGCCCATTGGGTGGGCGTGGCTGTGGTGGTAACGGCAGACTAGGTGAGACTAAAAAGTTCAATCAATCAATTCCAACTTTGCAAGATCTTTTTTTTTCCCACGAGGTTGAAATTGATTGATTGAACCATTTGTTTTGTACACGGCAGCAGAGGCCTAAAGCAAAAAGGTTTTATAAAACCCAGCTGGGGCGACGGTGCGCATGCCCACAGAGGGGGCTCTGAATGCCGCCTCTGGCACCCGTGCCATAGGTTCACCACCACTGAATTAGGATATAAGAAGGAGGAATGGAAAAACACAGTGAGACTTGCATGATTGATATCAGCCTTTTAAGGTTCTCCAGATGAGGAAACAACTCTACAAGAAAACTAATCTTCCAAGTATGATGGTCCCTCTGTGTCCTTCTTCGGATGTACCTAAATGCATCCAGCTACATTTTAAAAGGTTTCAATTCTCTGAAAGCCATAATATTAGGCCCAAAGAAATGAAGGAGAATGGATGAATGAAATTGGCAACTGGCTCACTGGGTCTACTTTGAGGATCAAGAAGCTATTTCCCCCCCCAAAAAAAAAAATAAAAGACAAATAAAAAAACAAATATTAATGCCAATGAAAGGTTTTTTTTCATCAGTGTCTGTTAGAATCACTCTTACCTTTTAAATACTTTGTAAATCAGATTACTAGAGTGTAATAACAATGTATTTAATCTTCAGGTTAAATAGGAAAAGAGAGGGGATATGTGACGAAGAGAAGCTCTCTATTCTTATTGCATTATTCACATAACAATTGTTCTGGCCTCAACTCTCTTAGGACACTCACTCAATAGCATGGCTCATGAATGTTTAAAAAGACTGATCAATAATAAGAGAACAATGAACTGTCCATCTACAAATTACCAAGTATCTCATCCATATTTAAAAAGCAAACCTCAGAATATCGGCTGATTTGAATCTATATTTTTTTTAGAGGACTAAAACACCTCACTGTCTCCAATGTCCATTATCACTTCAGCCCATAGAATCCATATTAAAGCAAAGGAGCCAGAACTGAGTAATAACCTTCTATTTTGCATTCATTATTTGATTTTCAGGTTTCATTTTCATTACAATGAATATACAGTTGCAAAATATAAACATATGCATGCCCTCTTAATCATCTTGAGGAAATTTATGCATGTTTTTTATCTGATCACGTGCTCAGACATACAGAATCACTTTAAAAAGGCCAATAAGAATTTGGTATTTTTTTCTGAGTGCCTTATTGGATGACAAAAAATATATATAACTTCAAGGTATAAATTTTGCAATAGAAACCCAACACATTCAAAACCGCCATGAGTTAGAAAAAGACTGAAGCTCTCCGTGCATCCCACCCTGCAAATTAATTATTGAATAAATTGCTCAATAAATGAAGGAGATCCAGTCCAATAGCATCTATGCTATTTTTAATAGAGCTTTGTTATGTATATTGGAAGGGGTACAATTAAAACCCTGCTAGCAACATAGGGAGAAGACATTTGATAGAGAAAGAGAGAGAAAGAATGCAGCTGTAACTGACATATGACACATTTTGTCAGAAGCTGTTGTCAGTCTTTAAAACATGGCTATCATGCAGCCAAATATGAATCCAAAAGCCAAAAATTTGTGAACTTAACAGTGAAAAGATGGGTGATCTTCTAAAATCATGTGTGTCGGGGTGAATGTCACATTTCAATCATTTTCAAAGACAGCCAATGTCTCTCAGATAATTAGATAGGGTTCCTCAAAGCACGTAACATACAATAGTCATTTATTCACACTATGTCTGTACCTTTGTGACTATACAACAAGCTGCCCAGATGTCATCAGAGGATTGTTCATAATAGTCAGGTTGCGGTGCCCAAATTTGAATTGGATGCTCTGCATAAGCCACTACCGTGCCAATCTGGTCTACCAAAGCCGCACGGACACTCGATGTGCCAACATCAATTCCAACATAGTAATTTACTGGTCCCAGGTTCTCACTTTGCATTTTGAACAGGCTTCTGGAAAACAGGGAAATAAAAATTGAATCTGTAAAAGATACGTAATTTAGACAGCCTTAGAGAATGCTGTACTTGCAAAGCTTTGCAGCAAATTCTTAATGTTAAGCGTACAATTTGAAATTGATAAAAATGTTGGTAATTCTGCGTAGAATATTTATGTAGTTAATCAGTCATTTATTTAAAAAAAATTCTGTATCACCCAGTCCAAAGATTCTGGATAGCGTATACTGTAATAACTCTATATAAAAACAACATCCTAAATACCTCAATTAATATAATTAAAATCCATTTAGAGTAAAATAAAAAATGCCCCTTCCCTCAAAACCTGATCACCAAAATGTTGCGGTTCTGTCACCATATCTGGACGCTGGATATGAAGGACCCAACTCCAACTCAATTCTACCAAGTCCAAATGGTTGTGTTTATTAGGGCTCCCTAGACCTGGCAATTGTCCATCTTTATTCATGGATAGGACTACACTTCCCCTCTCAATAATGATATACAATCTAGGGCCTTTATGGATTCTCAGCTTCTGCTCAAAGAGTAGATGACACTATGGACAAGGAGGCCCTCACATTGTTTCTAAAGTCCCTGACAGCCTCAAGGATCCAGTTCAAGACTACTATAGTATCTCCAGCTTCATTTGGGGTTGTGATGTAAAAATGAGTATAATCAGCATACTGGTGTTACTTCATACCAGATCAAAGGACGATCTCCCCCATCAGTTTCATACAGATGTTAAATAACATTTAGACTAAGCACTGTGAATCACAACACTAGAATAACTATTGAATTGATTGCTTTTCTCTCATTACTGTTACTACTATTGTACTACTATTACTACTACTACTAATGACTAGAACTTGCCCACTCTGTGAGGAACTAAACCAGGGGTAGGCAACCTTGCTCTTTTATGACTCGGGGACTTTAACTCCCAGAATTCCTGAGCCAGCATGGCTGGCTCAGGAATTCTGGGAATTGAAGTCCATGAGTCATAAAAGAGCCAAGGTTGCCTACCTCTGAATTAAACCAATGATGAAAGTACATCTAAACTTTGTAAGAAAAATACTATTTTGCAAGGTTTTGAACAATACTTAAGGATCTAATAAGACCAAGAGGGATACATTCCCCACATCCAAGTCCTGATTAATATAATTCCCTAGAGCAGGCATGTCAAACTCATGTGTCACGTGATGTCGTGCGATGTATTGCGACTTTTTCCCAATTGCTGGCAATGGGGTGGGCGCAGTTTCAGCGTGACGCATCTGGCCTGCAGGCCAGCAGTTTGACATGCCTGCCCTAGAGCAGTAGTGGCGAACCTATGGCACGAGTGCCAGAGACGGCACTCAGAGCCCTCTCTGTGGGTACTCACGCTGTCACCCTAGATCCATCTCCCCCGTGGCCCCCTCACCAGCAGCCTCCCGGAGGTCACTCCCAAGCACAGCTGGTGCGGAGCAGTGCAGCAAAGGACATGGCAGCCAGGCTGTAGGGACAAGACTCCGCCCTTGTGCCTCATCGCACGCAGATGCTGTAGGGCGCAGGCAGATGGCATGGCCACCATGGTGCTGCAGGGCCGCCTGGGCGATCTGTGGCAGGGCGTGGAGGCAGCGGATGGCCCTGCAGGTAGGTGAGGCCGGGCTGGGGGCAGAGCAGGCAGGGCCGGTTTTGGGGCACTCAGTCTCTAAAAGGTTCGCCATCACTGCCCTAGAGCAATAAATGCCTTGTTTTATCCCACACCTGGGGAATAAACTTAATTAATTACAAACAATTTACTTCTTCTATGATTCTTTGTTGCCATCATTTTCTCAACAATCTTCATCACAAAAAGAAAAGTTGGAAACACTGAGAGTTAATACAATTGAATTGAGAGATGGCCTCTACAACAGAGTCCACTGCCTCTTTCAAAACAATAACCTTCTCCCAGAGATATTCATCAATTTCCAAATCCCGCTACAAGCACATCCCACTGACTACTTGAAGAAGCCAGGTAAGTGTTACACATATGGCAATGCCACACTACAGGGAACTTCCTCACTTCCATAAGGTCAAAAGGATTCCAGATAGCATTATTAATCATTGTCCTATTCACCTTGCCTAATTCTGCCCAACTGGTGTCAAGACCCATAATTTTACACATAACTCAGAACTTATTATAAACAATTTTTTAACATTTGTTGCCATTTGGGGAAGAAATAAGGGGCATAATCATATTTAAAGTCACACATTGCCGCCCTAGGACATGTGAACCTTGGCCACAGTATACACTAGGGGTCTTCAAACTTGGCCCTTTTATGACTTGTGGACTTCAACTCCACAGGTACGCTGGCTAGGAATTCTGGGAGTTGAAGTTCACAAGTCATAAAAGGGCCAAGTTTGAAGGCACCTGGTATACACTCAGCCAGAAATATGACTATTCTTCAATGCTAAAGGTAATTCTTCTGTAGTACACTGACATTTTTGTAAATGTGATCATGACACATTTTAAAAACAAAGTGAAAGATCCCTCAAGTTACTGCACCGCTAGAAACCTATTTGAGCCCATTTGTTTACCAAGCAGATCATTATCACTTTTACAAATAAGTGTTAGCAAGTGGATTATGTCACAATATAGTTAGAATACATACAAATATAAACAGTAAATATTTACCATCTTTTCACTACTAATTATTAGTTATAGTCAAAACATCATGATATAACAAGCAATTCTACATAGTGCCACTTTGTGCTTTAGCTACTTTTTAATAAAAGCTTCTGAATATAAAAATTAAAAGAAAATAATCTGTACAAAATTTTGGTTAACTCTTTCAGAAATTATAAAAAAGCTCAAAATTAAGTCAAACTACAGTAGTAGAATTTCTCAGCACAATATTGCATTTATTTTTAAATTATCCTCTTCACTGTTAAACAGTTTTTAAGCAAAAAACCAACAATAAGTACTTTTTTTACAAATCCTAGAAGTGGAAAGCTTCACAAACTACTCTTAACTATCTAAGAGTCATAGTGCATAATAAATATTCATACAGTCCAGCAACCAGTAATCTGCAGAGATATTACTCAGCCTGTGTATACAGCAAAGCACATACTTCTTGCTTTCTCCTTGAATAAATTTTCCAGTTTTCTGGCACTGAACCATGATGACAGAAGCAGAAAATAAATAGTCTTTGAAAGTCTGGTTTTTTTAAAAAAATAAAATAAAATAAAAAAATCCAGAGCATTGCTTAAAGTGAATAGAAGCAAACACAGAGCTGATCAAACCAGCCAGGAAATAAAAGAAACAAGTTTTTAAAAAGTTTGATTGCTGAAATGACCATGAGATCAATCAGTGATAAAGGGTCTTTCACATTCTCCAAGGACAATTATTACTAGGATATACTTTCTTAATATTTTTCCTGGACAAAAATAAGGGAAAATGAAGATTTATTGTAAAAAAGCAATCACTTCTAATATGATGCCAAGTGTACAGTATATATTGAACTTCAACTTCATTAACCACCACCAATGACCAACTAATCTTGAAAACCTGCTATTTAATAACTACATATTTTCTGGTACTGGTCCATGGCTTGTTAGCTACTGAGCTGCACAAGCAACGGCTGAGCAAGTAAACTTCTTTGAGGATACATAGGATCTAGGTTGCACATGAAACCATCCCCCACTCCTGGTCCATGGAAGATATGGATGTGGCTACTTGTGATTAAACCAGAGGTATAAACTCACTGTGGTTGATAAACTATAGTTAATGACTAAGGGTAATGTTGTGAACCTAATCAATTGTAACATTTTAACAAAACATGGTTACCAAACTGTAAGATATTCCATGGGAAACTTATGAGGGCATTATAAAATAATGCCTCAGCCAGAAAATTAGTAGAATGTATGGGCTGGAAGGGAACCTCAGAGATCCCCTGTTACAATACCCACTAAGTGCTATTATGGCACCTGTAACAAATAGCTATACAACCTCTGCTTAAATAGCTCCAGGGAAAGAAATCCATCATCTTCTGAGGCAATCTGGTCCATTGTTAAATAACATTTGCCAGTTCACATAATCCTCATCTTCTAAACCAGGGTAGGCAACCTTGGCTCTTTTATGACTCGTGGACTTCATGGCTGGCTCAGGAATTCTGGGAGTTGAAGTCCACAAGTCATAAAAGAACCAAGGTTGCCTACCCCTGTTCTAAACTATAATGGAGCTTGGAATATGGCCATACGTCATGCCAGTCGTTAAGTGAATCATCGTGGTCGTTAAGAGAACTCATTGTCTGCAAGAATGTTTTTTGTTGGAAACTGGAAGTAAACTGGAAATAAACATTGCTTTCCAGAAAGGGGGGGGGGCGGCCATTGGAACTTCAAATCTGAGTCCTAAATATCGTAAGTTGAGCATTGCCTTTACAAAATTCTTCCTGATTTCTAATCAACGTTTATTTCTTTGCAATTACAACTCACTGCTTCTTGAAACAATAACACTTCCCTTGATGCTGCCTTTGATTGCACTTGCTTTTTTGTAACAGGATCACTCTATTTACACTCCATTAAAGTTCTTCTACTTCTGCCAGATATGATTAATCTAACATATATTCATGCCATTGCTTCTTTTTATGAAATAAAAGACTACACATTTGTCCCTCTTGAAATTTATGTTGCTGGCTTCTGTCCACTGACTAGCATGTCAAAATCGTCCTGAATCTTGAATCTGTCCTCTAAGGTACTTACACTTCCTTCATCTATCTCCCAAATTTGCAAGTCTCATATTTTCTAACCCTTCATCCAAACAGAAGATGGCCTAGAATGGAGTCTTTCAGCTCTCACCTCCTTCCAGCTTGAGGTACACTTATGGGTATAAGTGTTCAACCACCATTGTGTCCAACTAATGATAATACAGTCCAGTCCACATTTTGTTATCTTCTCTATAAATGTTTCATAAGAAACACTGTCATATATTTTGTTGAAATTTAAATAACTATGTCTATTACACTCCCACAGCTAATTAAACTGTCTATTCTTTAAAAAGAAAAAGAGAAAATAAGTTCAGTTTGACAATTACCTGCCTCTGGCAATACAATGATGGTTCCTGTCATGTAATGTATTCCTCTCTAAATAATCACAAATCAATTGCCTAATAAACTGAACCATAGTTTTTGTAATGGTGTATTCACAGTTAAGCAGTATTCAGGGAGTGGGTAGACATGTGAGAAAACATTTGCAGATATCTGCACATTCCTCAATTGTTTGGGAAACACATTGCCAGCCCATTGATTCATCATTGGGACCGATGTCCTAATGAGCAGATATGACAAACTGGCTTCTTAAAAAGAAAGCAATCTAGTTGTAGAAATTTTTTATAATAAAATCTCTTTCCCTTGTAATAAATCCTGTTAAAGATGATTCCAAAAGAATGATGTTTTTGGTAAACTTACTGCCAAGAGCAAGGGTCTTCAAACTTGGCCCTTTTATGACTTACAGACTTCAACTCCCAGAATTCCTCAGCCAGGTATGCTGGCTGAGGAATTCTGGGAGTTGAAGTCCACAAATCATAAAAGGGCTAAGTTTGAAGACCTCTGGCCAAGAGCCTAACACTCATATCAACAACACTTATAAGGAAAGGACACATTTTATTACGTTCTTGACTAAAACCATGGCAGTGGCTTGACTAAAGCCCTCTGGGAACACCACTGACTGGTGAACAAGTTATCAGTGCTACAGTTCAACGTTCAACCGCAGCACTGAATTATTGGTATAAAGCTCAATATTTGGTTAATGTCAGCAACTGGGTTGCTTTGAACCAGCTATGGCGATTCTTGCCGATCCAACCATGTTTCTTGTTACCAGAGCTTGTTACCAGACAAATAGGGAAGATCCCCAAATAAATTTGTTCTTTTTATCCTTTAGTGTAGGCTATACATCTAACTGGGGATAACTGAAATTTCCACACGTTCCGTATGGATGAGATTTATCCTTGGGCTCTTGACTTATAAACTGCCAAAAAGGAAATTACTCTGGTAGACAATAATAATCCTGTGATGGACAGCTATGCCAATTTTATGCAGATACTCAAAGATGCTTTTAAAACCCGGCCAGAAAGCTAATCAAGAAATTAGCAAATTATGTCAAGGTGTTGTAGATAGGCACAGATAAGTCTTCCAATTTTATCTGAAAGGTGGAGACTGAAATGAATTAGCTTTAATTCTTCAGTTTAAAGAAAGCTTATCAACTGAATTGCAAGATGAGCAAATTTATTAGGGTATACCAGACATATGAGCAGATTTGCTCCTCTAAACTGTATGAATATAGATGGTAAACTAGAAGGGTTAAAATACACTGGGGGGGGGGCTGTAAAACAGAAGAAACACCCTTCTTACAATGACTTCTTTGTTCCTGGACTCTAATTTCTTCTGGAATTCAGTCTATGCACATTGACCCTACTTTTCAGCTACAGAAGGAAACCAGAAGTTGAGATTTGTCTTATCACTTGCTACTGCCCTGTTCAAAGAGTAGGAAGTGTACTTCTTTTTCTTCCACTTTTCAACTGACACAGTCCCCAAACTCCAGTTGCTGTCCTTCACTAGTGAAACTAAGCTCCTTTTCCACGTTAGCCTAACTTTCTTTCTGCTGATAGCTACTTGCTTGTGTGCTTCCTTCAGGATAATACTCATCATGGTTCCTATAGATGTCCTTGCTTAAAATTCTAGGTCAGTTGAAAGTTTCTTTGGTCTACAATGGTTTCTTAAGCTGCCCCATTTTTTCTTGTGACTGAAATGGGGTACAATTCTGCACTCAAAAGAAGTGCAGAAGGGTTTAGAACAGGGGTCTTCCATGCCTGGCTGAGGAATTCTGGGAGTTGAAGTCCACAAGTCATAAAAGGGCCAAGTTTGAAGACCCCTGGTTTAGAATATCTTGTTTTTCAGAAATCTTCTACTCTTCTTTAAGCTCAATACTTCTCTAAGCTAGCTGAAATTGTCTCTCCTAAAACCAAGTGAAACTATGTTCTAATTTTTCTTTCTGCAGTATCTTGATTCTGAAGATGACACATCACCTCCACTCAAATTTCTGGCTGCTTTTACATCCCCCCCCCCTTTCCCTATTGAATTAGAACTAGTTCTGCAGTTGATGGCTTTATCTCATCTTCAATTTTTTGAAGCAGTTAGAAAAATCAATTTAAAAAATTCTGAAGCCATTAGACCAGAAATGAGAGAATTGTATTTCACCAACTACGTTCTATGAACATAACTATTGAAATTAGATTTTGGTTCTGAGTTGTCATGCAAACTTATAAACTTGACTATGCAAAACATGGTTGAGCAGGGATAATTATGCATGAACCCTGCAAGTGATCTTCCTTCCTTCCTTCCTTCCTTCCTTCCTTCCTTCCTTCCTTCCTTCCTTCCTTCTTTCCTAATAATAATAATAATAATAATAATAATAATAATAATAATAATAATAATAGAGTTGGAAAGGATCTTGGAGGTCTTCTAGTCCAAACCCCTGCTCAGGAGGAAACTTAACTTCCTTCCTTCCTTCCTTCCTTCCTCCCTTCCTTCCTTCCTTCCTTCCTTCCCAACCTGAGGAGCAGGTATAGTCTAGTGCTCAAAGGATGAGCCAGACTTGGAGAAAACCCAAATCAACTTGAGTCTTAGCCTTGGAGACTCATTGTATGGTTTTGTGCTGTCACTCTCAGTGCAACTTAGGGGTTACAGAACTGTGTGTTTTGGAGGAAAAACTGGAACTAGTTTGAGCTCCTGCAGGAAAGCCAAGAAAGCAATCTAACAAATGCAGCAAAGAAAATGCCCCTGGCAAGGACTTTCATTTCAGCTATCGGTCTCATTTTTTTCCCAGGAAGCTGCAAGGGAATTCGCGTTCTCCTTAGTTAACCCTGAGACGGTTCGCTTTACTCATTACTATATTTTCTCACCTGTTTCCCAGGCTCGGTCATCAGGTGCCCAATAAAAAATTATTATTTCTAGAATGCAATGGCTCTGCTGTCACTTTACGAGCAGAGAAGAATTTCTACGGTACTTTTTTCCCCCGGGCATACACGCGGGAGTGGGGGTGGAATCCAAGCCAAAGAAACCCACTAGCGTCGCAGGCGGAAGAAGGAGGACCCCGCTCCTTTCTTCTCTGAGAGGCGCCCAGAGGCAGCCCTTCGCCGGTGGAGGGGGGGGGGGAGAGCAACCGGGCGTGTTTTTGTTCTTTACGGCAGAGGTCTCCAATCTTGGCAACTTTAAGACTTGTGGACTTCAACTCCCAGAATTCCTCAGCCAGCTTTTAAATCCCCCCCCCCCCAAGTCTTAAAATTGCCAAGGTTGGAGAGCCCTGCTCTCCGGAAAGGCGAGGCAAGGCACCGTAAGAGGAGGGTTTCTTGCGACAGGACGCTCTGATACACAACCGATTATTTTCGTGGGAAAGCGAAAGCCACTTACTTGCCCGAAAGTGAAACACGATCTTAGCAAGCAAGCGGTGGGGGTCAAAAGCAACGGTCACCACGCGCTTGATGAGCAACCACCGGGGCTCCTGACAGAGCAACTTCCGGCGTTCGGGGAGCCGCCGTGACCGGGAAAAAAAAAGCCGCACGCCTTTTTCTTCCCTTGGCAGGAGGACATTTGTCAATGCTTTTTCTGATTGGTCTGTTGACCGAGCGCCCCCCCCCCCGCCTCGCGCTCAAATGCGATGGTGGGGACGGAGAATAGGGCGCTCCTTTCCCTGAAAATGCTATTTTTCCCTGCCGTCTCCACCCCCCCCACCCCGTTTCTATCCACGGTTCTTACTATTTGTAAAATCGAGAATACAGTAATAGAGTTGGAAGGGAGCTTGGAGATTTTCTAGTCCAATGCCCTGCCCAAGCAGGAGACCCTGGCCTATACCATCCCGGGCAAATGGCTGTCCAATCGCTTCTTAAAAATATTTCAATCAGAATAGAGCTAGAAGGGACCTTGTCCAACCCCCCCTGCTCAAGCAGAAGATCTATAATCCTTTCAGATAGGTGGCTGAGCAGTCTTTGCTTTAAAACCTTGAGTGATGAAGCACCCACAACTTCCGAAGACAAGCTGTTCCACTGGTTCGGAGGTAGGTAACCTCGGCTCTTTTATGACTCGTGGACGTCAACTCCCAAAATTCCTGAGCCAGCATGCTGGCTCAGGAATTCTGGGAGTGGAAGTCCACGAGTCATAAAAGCCGAGGTTGCCTATCCCTCCTCACTGGTTAATTGTCCTCACTATTAGGAAGTTTCTCCTTAGTTCTAAGTTGCTTCTCTCCTTAATTAATTTCCATCCATTGTTTCTTGTCTTGACTTCTGGTGTTTTGAAAAACGAGTTGATCCCCTGTTTGTGGCAGCCCCTCAAATACTGAAATATTGCTATTATGTCACTACTAATCCTTTTCTCTAGACTGGCTATACCCAATTCCTGCAACCGTAAGTGTAAAATCTTGCTTTTCTCCACACTGAATTTCATGTTATTGGATAGGGCCCATCGTTCAAGTCTGTCAAGATCTGTTGGATCCTGAGCTTGTCTTCTGGGGTGTTGTCCTAGCATCTCCTGTGTTGGATATACTAGAGGTAGGATGTAGTAAAGTTTAAGATCTGCCTCCTGCTCTGTCTCTCTTTTTAAGCAAAAGTTTTATCGATTTTCTTTTCCTTGGTTTGCCAAGATCTATCTTTTTTCCCCCTTGAAATATCAAGGGGAAAAGGCTGAAGGGTATTAACTGATGCCCTCCAAGCTAAGTAATACTGAACATATTTTAATTTAGGGTGATGGCTAAGAACAGCCTACAAATAAAACGACTGTATTTTTATTTGAACTGTAGGAAGTATTCCATTAAAAAAAATCTAACAGTAACTAGGTTCACAATTGCATTAATCTAGGTGTGCATCAAAAAAATAATAATTGATTGGATACTAAATTTTATTCTGACTACACTAAAAAACACCAGCTATGATATGGTTTCCTTGTTTGTGGGCGCAGTGCATTTCTGTGAAGCTAGTAATTATGCTACTGCTAGCCATGTTTATATACTCTGGTATGTGTGAACCCAGCCAATTAAGGTTCATTTTTAAAAAGCGATGGCCAGGTTCACACATACTGGGCCATGCAATCATGATTAACAGTAGTAAGTCAGAACCAGCCATTAAGTTAGCATAGTTATAATTCACTGGGTTCATATATCATGGAAATGCATTATTGGCATGTATTTATGACGGTTGCAGTGTCCCGGGGTCATGTGATCACTGTGACCTGACAAGCAAAGTCAATGGGGAAGCCAGATTCACTTAACAACTGTGTTACTAACTTAACAACTGCAGTAATTCACTTAACAGTGGCAAGAAAGGACATAAAAATGGGGCAAAACTCATTTAACAACAGAAATTTTGGGCTCAATTGTGTTATTAAATTGAGGCCCCACCTGTACTCAATGCTATTTAACACAGAGACATTTTAGCACCTTTGTATATATAGCTGCTTAATGGGTCAGTCTCCCTTTGGTCTCATCTGTTATAGGGGAAAAAACCCCAGACAAATGTGTTTATTTGAATCACCAATTGTGAGGAGTTGCATAAATACACAACTTGCACAGTCCATCTGAGTTTGCAAAACATGTGGATTCTGAACTTAGAAACTTATAGAATCAATATGTATTCCATGCTGTGTTTTAACTTTTCTAAGTGATCTTCCTAGGAAGATTAGCACAGTTACATTGCCTCTCTGCTACAAAAATTTTGCACTGTGAATGAAAGTTCCTAGTTTTCCTGCTTTAAAAGTAAAAAAAGAAAGCCAACAATAAATGTAGGATAAATCAATATTGCTCCAATTTGGCCTGCTGCCCACTTGACCACTAATCTCATCTAATTTAGTTGGTCTAAATAAGAGGTGGCATCTTTGAAATATTCTCCCTAACTGAGTTAGACCCCATGTGACACTTACTGGAGGAAAATTTCTTTGCATAAATCTGTCCTAAAAGGTTCACTTAATCATATTGCTTCACTAGCAGCAGTAACCTTTGAAGCCAGAGACCTGACATTTTGAGAAATGGAGAGAGTCCATAAATATAATATTTCTTATTAACTATTGCAGCACAAAATAACATTTACAATCAGGATTGTGATGTTTGTATAATTCTAGGAGCTTTGAAAAGTATTTCCATATTGTGAATGTGTATGTGCTAGGCTCTTTCTTCTCTGATCTATGCTAATCCTATAAAAATGTTTTCTGCCCATCCTTTATATTACCATTTTTATATCTGCTGTGCAGAACACAGTCATATAATAGGCAGCGGCAAGTTTACCATATATCTCTTGAAATCTTTTTTTCCTCTTTGTTCAGGTTAAAAGTTAACCTTGTTTTTCTCCTTGAAAGGTTCTTCCAGTTCACTTGAGATCTATCACAGAACAACCTGGCTACCAAAGCATTACCACATAAGTCATCAATTACTCATGAACCCTTGCTATAATACAATTTATCTTAGTTGCTGTGGCATTTTTGTGAACATTTTTTTTCATTAAAGTTCTTCGCTATATCCCTTCTTTGTCTTCCTCATAGACATCATCTCCTTAAGGAACAATAAAAATTAGATTTGTTTGACCTGTAGTAAGGGTTCATACAGGCAAGAAGATTTAATTGCTCTGCTTGGTCTTCCAGACAGCTTTTATGCAATAATTCAGACATCCACACCGTTGTGTTTGTCCAAGGATGGATGCCTGCATAATAGGATTTACCATTCACTACACATTGCCTTAGCTCCCCTGGGAAATCACTTGCCATGAGATAGCATTAATTAAAAACTTGCATCATTGCCATGTCTTGATTTCTAATGACCTGTGCTCTTCTTTTTCATGTCAACTTTTATAGTACAATTAATTCTACGAGGACATCAATAGTGGTCCAAATCTTCACAGCTTAATCCACAGTCAAAACTTTGTACACAAGAGCCAAGCTTTAAATAGTATTTCATTTGAATGTTGCCCTGGATCTTTGCAGACTTCATCCTTTGGCTTCCATTCCTTCCCTTCCCTTCCCATTTCTCCTGTCCTAGTTTTCTTCTATTTATCTAAAACATCTCCAGTCCATTTTCTTACTTCCAAAAATCCAGCACCTCTGCCTATAGTTGCCTTGGCCATGCAAGCCATATTTTCTTATAATACACCTGTATGTTTCAAACTTGCCCCGCATTTTTATACTTTATGCCAAAAGAAAGAAAAGATGTAAAAATAAGTATAAATCAATAATAAATCATAATGTTTGTTCTTTCAGCCAACTGGAAATTCTCTTACCGTTTGAGTTTTTATCTCCCTCCAAAAAGACTGTTTTGAAAACATTATCGTCTTTGTGCTTGTGAATGTCTGCATCATAGGATTTCTCCTTCACTTGAAATCAAATATGCATTTGGGATATGTACATCTGTATTTTATTTTTTTCCCCCATGTGTCATTCAGGTTTTATTTTACAATGGTAAGACATTTACATTAACTGGGATGCCATTCATTCTAATCAACAGTGTCACAGTGCATCTAATTTCATTATCCCTGCTTCTGTCATTTGCAGTACTGCATACTAAAAAGTGGCAGAGAATCATATATTGGATACTAGTCTAAGAATAGAAGCTAGATGTCATTATCATCATGCAAAAGAGACTTGATAACTGTTTTAGACTGCAGAACCATAGAAGCATAATTAGAAACAGGCCATATTGAGATGGGCTGATGGGGTTTTCGCAGCATGTTATAGGCACTCCTATAAGATGGCTGTTCCGGAAAACTTCCCTGACATAGCAGGCCCTGCCAGCCACAAAACAACTATTTTTGCCAGACTTATTCAGAATTCTCCTCCAGAATGCTGTCAACATTTCAAGGGAATACTAAAAACATCCTTGTCACTAGCTGGAGAAAAAATGGGTAACCTTCAGCCTCTCGTCTTCATGCAGCCCACAGACTTCAAGCAAGGTATTAAATTAAGTGGAAGTAGAGAAGATTCAGTAATGAAGATTATCAAAAGGGCTGGAGCAACTTCCTTATGAGGAAACATTGCGACATTTCTGGCTTTTTAATCTAGAAAAGGAGAAAATGAGAAGAAGAGTTACTGAAACGTACAAAATTATGCACTGAGTGGATGAAGTGGACAAGGGGAAACTGTTTCCCTATCCCAAAAAAGCCTAATACCAGAAATCAGCCAATGAAATTGAACCCTGGAAGAATTAGGATGGGCAAAAAGATTTGGGTTGTTTTTGTTTCTTACACAGCGTGTAATTAAATTTTGGGATTTGCTACCAGGAGATGTGCTGGTTACCAGCTTGGCTGCTAACTGAGTGGGGTTCCTCGTTCAAGGTTGTAATAGCTGGATCAGGGGTCCAATCCAGCAGAACATCTTACATTTTTTGTTCCTTCCCCAAATCCCCTCCTTTCATCTGCAATCAAAGTCACATTAGCCAGTAACTAGGAGAATAACTAAGGGAAATTTCCTCTACATTTTTATTGTCAAGTTGTTTCACTGATTGTTCTGTTAGGAAATTTCTCCTTAGTTCTAGATTGGTTCTCTCCTTGATTAGTTTCCATCCATTGC